CAAGGAATGTAAGAGTTGAAACTTTCAGAATCGACTACCTTAGAAGATCCCCAAAACTTGAAAAGGTAAGTTTACAGCCAGTAAGTTACATGCCATCGGGAGTTATTCGGGCAAGCACACACTGCAGATACCGAAGCCTTGAAGCACAAACCTACCCTAAACTCTAAGCCCTACGGCTGATGATATAAATCCTGCATTACCCATAATAAGGAATATACCGTAATTCCCATAGTTTGGGGTCCTTAAGGTAATGCAGGATTTACAGAAAATAAGACATTACGGGCCCCATATTTACAGTTTTACTGTTTTTCATGTTTTTGGTTTGCTTCAGATTTGAAGCAACATCACTCGTGCACACGATATCGTTATCCTCATATGCATATTCTTAAATAGGATACTTGTACGTATACCCATACATGTGCTTGTTTCAACTGTCGACGTGACTATAGAGCAGGAGGTTTGACTCACTTCTTGGCTGGTTTAGGCCCGAAGGGCGAGAACACTGCTACTAAGGGGAAGGCGGGGGGGGAGGGGGGGGGCGGCCGAAAAAAAAAAAAAAAAAAAATCTGGAGGGGAGGGGGGGGGGGGCAGAGCCAAAAAATAAAAAAATCTAAAATCTAAAATCTATTTTTTTTTTTTTGCGCTGCCCCCCCCCCCCCCCGCCAGATTTTTTTTTTTTTTTTGGTGGCTGCCCCCCCCCCCCGCGCGGGGACAGCAAGGCAAGCGACAGCCAACGCCATGGTGCGCCATACTGCGGGAGCGGACACCAACCAAGAGCCACATGATTTAAACCTGGTGTCCTTAGCCCTTAGCCCATGCAAGCCTCACTGCAAGTGAGTAGATACTCTATGCCGAATATTAAGATCAATGAGATTACAAATTTACCAGATAAACATCTATAGAATCTATAAAAGACCTCAGAGACTTACTGCGTATAGAAAAGTCGATATCTGAGATTACAGCTCACAAAGATGATAAACTATTTATGACTGATGACATCATATGACGAGGAGACCTTACATTAACATACATTCGATGGATGCGAACTCACGACACAACCACTGCCTGAGCAATGGCAGGTGGACAACCAGTTGAAGGGTCTGTCGTAGTCAAACGATAACAACAATGCTTGATGTCGCATATGATGTGGTAGCATATGCGAGGACATACGGTCGGTATATATGCTGGATGTCAGATACATGCATGACCAGTCTCCTCGATAACATATACAACAAACACTGTCTTCGCCTTTCATTGACAGGTTGCGATGTAAGGAATCCGAATCCGACTATTTTATAGGTGCATGAAAACGGGAGTTTGAATATTCCACTTGTGCGATGTTCGAGCAACATGGTGGGCTCTGTCGGGGAGTTTACAACTGGAAATCATTATTGGTTTATGTTCCTGTGATCAGGATCGGCTACTCGCAGTAATCTGAATATCACTATACCAAAACTGGCTAGATATGGAAACAATATATCTCATGAGCACGTCATGGTGAAGTATCAATCTTCCCGTGAACCATGCGCATCATAGTATGATATGGCGTAACACACTCGTGCGCATGTAGCATGAGGTGCTAGGGAGATGCCATACGAGCTTGGCAAGCTCACGGGATGCACGAGGACATCTAAGTCAAATCTCATAGTGAAGATATGTGTCATGAGATGCTGCCTGCATCTTGCGACCTATTCATACTTAGCTGCGACTGTTGTAACTTCATGCGAGATTGGGTTTATGTGTGAGAATAAGTCTCCGGGCTTTTAGAAAGGTCTACCGAGGGGTTTAACCAATATGTGGTGCAATCCCGCTTGCCCGCGCGGCCGGAAGGCGTAAAGGGGGAAGCCCGAACGATGCGGGCATCTTATAAGGACACATACTGCGATGATCTATACGGATGGCTCAATATCATAATGATATGTTGAAGAAATTTCCTGGTGCTCTATGTTGATATGGCCATATTCAACACATAACATGCCTTTTACATCGAAGGAATGTGGCGAATATCCTGTTCAACTGCCGGTTGGGTGCCTCATTATGACGGCTCCATTACTCTTGCCAAAACTGGCATGCAGCTGCCAATGTAATCTGCCATGTTTACTTCCACCACAAGAGATACTTGACTTCTTGATGATGTCACATATTAAAAAGTTGGTTTTAGGCATAGTATAGTTCTTATACGTTTTCTTGGGTAACAGGATTTAGTTTACGGAGATATCCACAAGACACACGATGAAGTGCGTCATGGGCTTTAACAAGACCATATCAGAATGGTTGCGGCATACAGGTGCATTGCCTGCAGCATAGATATAACAAGCGGTATCGTTTACAGCTGATGACAATCGTATGTGCGTGTCGGTGTATGTTTGTGTGTGCATGTGCAAATAATGTGTTTTCACGGCAGTCAACTTATGACTAGATGGTATGAGCAACAAGACAGCGAAAATGATTAATATTGCAGGTGGATCTCCATATGTCTGCATATACAATAATGATAGCAAAGCACCATCTCCTTGAAAAGTATATTAACTCAATTATATCCTTATCCTTTGGGGGCTTGTGGGCTTCAGCCGCAATGATCACTAATCTGAATAAGCCAGCATTGTAGCTGTCAGGATGTATACAGCAACATCCATGCGATGATTGTCTTCGAAGGTCGTAGGTTTTCAGTTTTCTGGGTTGGCTTCTGTGAGAAGCTATTGCAATTGAAATACACAATTCCGCACACACAGCTCCAAATACTAGACAAATTATTGGACTGGGAGCTCCGAAACAAGGACAACCAATGCAATAATAATCGCAAACAATAATTCGCTTTTGAAGGAGGTTGCACTAAACAAGCTAGCATTCATACGAAAAGCGGTATCGAAACTGAATGTAGCAAAGACATCTATGCACATATATGTATATATGTACATATGCAAATGGATCCGGTAACACTATCCAGTTGATCGCCTGCATGTACACAGCTTGAGACGGTGGGAACCGTTTGAGCAACCTGCCTGTATGATGCCAAACTCAACTTGTCCTGCTACAGTATATGCTGGACGTCTATAACCAAAATCATATGTTACCATGCACATGATGGGGCCTGCAAAAACCGGTAGGATATGTAAGCGATTCTTTACGTTGATATACAAAAGTTATATAGATTGACCGGTCTTGTACATCACTCAAGGGTGGAGAAATGCACGGTTTCGCAGACGCATTGTATCTCATTTATCTGCAAGATTATACTATGAGACACAAAGAACAACCACAAGATTGAAGTGGCATTGATTTATCGGATAGTCTTCATGAGACTCCACAATGAAAGGTAGTCACACGTGCATCCCATGTTGATTGGAAAAGTATTTCCCATATCAGGCATCAAGAGCAACAGGGTTAAGTAAGCTTGAAAACCACTAGTATGCAAATTATGACGATTGTAAGTTTTTGTGCTGAAAACTCTTAGAAAACAGCATTTTGACTGGAAAATATGGGGCCCGTAATGTCTTACACTCTCAGGATTTATATCATCAACAGCAAGAGCCAGAAGCCATCAGCAAGCAGCGAACCGGGACAGCCCAGGAGGCCCAAAACTCCGAAACCCTACGACCCAAAACCGGACCCTTAAAGGAGCCCTACTGAAAGGATCACGGGACTTAGTAACTATGGGGTTCTTTAAAGGAGTCCTTAAAAGGGATCTACAAGGGTTCTATAAGAGGGGTCTTAGGGTTACTTAAAGGATCATAGGACTTAGTAGCTGGGGTTATAAGCAATGTAACTCTAGTTATCATTACTTATAACCCCGATAAAGGTACATACAATCTCCTGGCTTGCTCACATCCCACATCCAACAATGCCTAAGACCTGCACATAAGCACCGGTGTAGGCTATCCGAAGCCCTAAAACCTAACCTTAAAACCCTAAACCCCTCGACCCTAAGCGCAACCAGAGCTGCAGCATCCGAGTGGACGCCAACGATGAGCAGATCACCCAATGCCTGGGTTCTTGCTAAGGGCTTTAACCTAAGTTACCAAATATAATTGAACAGGAAACCATGTTATTTACTATAGATCACCATTTTGGTAACTTAAGCCTTCAACCCTAAACCCTTACTATAGATCCCTTCAAGGAAAGACTAGAGATCCCTTTAAAGGAAAAACGAGAGATCCCCATTTCGGTATCTTAAGCTACTTGGAAGGGCAGGGGGCTTAGTAAGTCGTTTATAAGTTATAACTGGGGTAACTCCATTTAACGTACTTATAACTCTACTTATAACCTACTGACTAAGTCCCCTGCCCGCCCAGGTAAGTTCCTTAAGAAGAACCCAGATGCGCGAGCCCGGCATAAGAGGGAAACGTGGCCGGCATGGAACCTGAGGCTTTCGGCGTTGTTTATTCTCTTTAACTATACTGAACTTAGAACCCTAGCACAAATTAAATTTCTAGCTGTTTCTTAGGGATTCTAATGCCCCAAAATTAAAAAATATTTCTAAGTACCCCTAAGTAGGAGTTTGGGGTGCTTGCTGTTTTGGGGTTTGGGGTTTAGGGCTTAGCTGGGCTTTGGGGTTTGGGCTTCAGGGCTCGGGGTTTTGGGTGTGTTTTGGATTGCAGGGTTAGGGCTTCGAAAGGTTTCGGCAATGTCGTTGGGGCATATAGAGTTTAGGATTTGGGGTATACGGGGTGAGCCTTCGATAATGCACAATGGAAACCGAGATGCCTAAACATCTGGTACTGCCCCCCCCCGCCCGGCAACAGTTCAGGACTTTGTATATACACCTACTTTACACATATTATCTAACTGTGGCAGAATTGGCGCAGTGCCCAACCTAAACCCCAACCCAAACCCAGAAACCCTAAACTTTAAACTCCGAAACCCTAAACCCCAGCCCAAAATTTCAATCCCTCAAGCCTTCACTTCGGAACCTCCGATCCGCATGCCTGCAAGGCTATGCAAAAATGAGGGTCCGCGACCCTGATGTTTGGAACTGCTTGGTTTCTGCGAGGGGGGATATGTTATACCATAACCTTAATTTAAACAACTCCAAAATAGTCTTGGTAATGAGGCCCCTAAATTAGAATTACATGCTAAGCCATGGAACCTAGTCTTTTGCAGCACACAAGTCCCGAACAGCAAATATAGCTTTGGCCGTGAATCCCCGCTATACCACTCAGCAACGCAACGAACACTGAAGCCGAAGGAAACCCTAAATCCCTAAACCCTTAAATCCCTAAAGCAAGAACATTCTTCATGTCATTGCAGGCAGGAAGCATGTCCCACGCTCCATCCACGTATACCACCTGGTCAGTCCCAAAACTGTCTCGTTCTTAGTAGGGAGTGGGAGCATGAACTATGGAGACCACTATTGGGGATTATATGGGGACTACCATGGGGATCCATTCCCCCATTCCCTACTTAAGCACCAGGGCGTTCAAAGGGGTCTGTAAAGGCCACTATAAGGGCGTTTATAAGGATTAAGTATAGGGGCCTTAATAAGGATGGAGTTAAGATGTTTGAAGAGTTTCTTGGGATTTTGCAGGTGATCCCCAAACACCAAGCCCATGGGCCTTGGTCCCCGAGGGGCCACAGCCACACCGATGACCCCCGTAACCGGACAGAGGACCTTGCTGTGCTTCTTGGGCTGGGGCCAGGCTGAACCTTCCTCCTTTGTGTTTTTTGGATTTCCTTAAACCCTAAACCCTTCAGGGCTTAGGGTTTAGGCACCGTGGACTCCTCCTCGGATTCCTCCTCCCGAGAAGGCTGCCAACTGGGCTCTGAAAGACGCTTCATCTTTGCCAAGCCCTTGGGCAATGTACCTAGGATACCCAGTAACCTAAGAATAAAAAGGCCTCTCTTTTTGGTATTGGCTAACTTTAGAAGGAACCTAGGACTACAAAAAGGGAATAAGGGTACTACTGGGCATCGTAGGTACTTTCGCGTTCTGTGGTAGACACCCAATGTGTTCTGCATCCTCGACGCTTTATAGGGAATCCCAGCACTACTTGTCCTTAATCCTGTTTCCACTTTTTTGTGGTTTACCAAAGTATAGATAGTATAGGGCTGGGGAAATAAATATTCAACTACAAGTTTAGTAAGGAATAGTATTGGTGATTATTTCGGCCCCTATATTCCAACTTTATACAGCTAGAGGGCTGAGAGGTGCAGGCTCTTAGGAGTGATTTAGGGCTTAGTCCCACTTTGGGCGTTGAGATAGGTGGTGCTATGAGACTCCACACGGCAAGATGTAACCACGATACAAACAGAGTAGTACTGAGTAGTACCTTGAGCTCCTCTTGCTACTGCTACTGCTACTGCTACTGCTACTGCTACTGCTACTGCTACTGCTACTGCTGCTGCTGCTGCGCTGCTACTGCTGCTGCTGCTGCTGCTGCTGCTGCTGCTGCTACTGCTACTGCTACTGCTACTACTGCTACTGCTACTACTACTACTACTGCTGCTGCTGCTGCTGCTGCTGCTGCTGCTGCTGCTGCTGCTCCTGCTACTGCTACTGCTACTGCTACTGCTACTGCTACTACTACTACTACTCCTCCTCCTCCTCCTGCTGCTGCTGCTGCTGCTGCTGCGACTGCGACTGCGACTGCGACTGCGACTGCGACTGCTACTGCTACTGCTACTGCTACTGCTACTGCTACTGCTACTGCTACTACTAATACTACTACTACTACTACCACTACTACTACTACTACTACTACTACTACTACTACTACTACTACTACTACTACTACTACTACTACTACTACTACTTTACTACTACAACAACAACAACAACAACTACTACTACTACTACTACTGCTGCTACTGCTGCTACTACCACTACTGCTGCTGCTGCTGCTGCTGCTGCTACTGCTACTGCTACTGCTACTGCTACTGCTACTACTACTACTACTACTACTACTACTACTACTACTACTACTACTACTACTACTACTACTACTACTACTACCTAAACTTACTACTCAGACGACGACCACAACTAATGCTGCTACAAATGCAGGAAGGATTCAGGAAGGATATCTCCAAGAACAGCCAGAACAACTTCCATTCCCAAACCCAAAACCCCAGACTCGATAACCCTAAACCCTACACCTGAACCCTATAAACCCTAGACGCATTAACCCTAAACCCTAGACACATTGACCCTGAACTCCTAAACCGAAGCGAGTCGCCTTGCCAGGCTTGAAATGGCCCGGCAAAGCACCAGAAAATGCGCGAAGCAGCTGCGATGTCACCAGGAAGTTAGATTGCTGCGACCTTATGTAGGCTTGTTTCAAAGACTCCGAATACAGGGGCGATAATAATTCGGCTATGCAGGCAAGGGGATAACATTACTAAGTAGTCCGAGTCATAGGAAATATTGTAACATGATAACATGAAGAAGCCAAGGTAACAAGGTATAATGAGAGCGAACTATTCAGACTATCCAGACCTACATTACTATATATTCAGACCTACATATCATACTAGATGTCGGGGCTGGCCCCAATGGATGCAGAGACTAGAGCGTGGGGCTGGCACATGGGACAACGCTACTAGCCTTCTCAAGCCCGAAAGCCAAACTTCCTGGCCTAATTAACGTGGTTCACACAGTGAAGTATACTAGGGAAACCCAAGAACCGACTTATGCAAACCACCCTACACTCCTACACCGCTCTGCTCTGCGAGCACATTGAACTTGAAGGGCGGGCAGTACAGGTTCAGGTCATTGGTGTCGGCTTAGGGTTTAGGGTTTGGGGTCGGATTTAAGTTCGGAGAGTGTTCTCCGGCTTGGTCAGGAGGAACCCGAGAACCCTTTATACTATAACCATAATATGGACCCCCGTCCCCCAAAAAAAAGTATAGGTATTCTTTAAGGCCCCTATGGTACGACTAGAACTGCAACCCTTGAGCCCTCAGCAATATCGGAACACACCAAGCCCCGAACACAGGAGCTCAAGATGGAGGCCTTCATCATTTAAATAGGGCTTGGGGATTAGTCGTTCGAGATTTAGGGCTTTAAAGGGTTCTATAATACTATAAGGGTTCTTTTAAAGGGTACCATAAGGCTATCATAAGCGTTTAGGGGGGGGTTAGTGTAGCAGCCTGATTACGAAAGCTTGGGCCTTCATTAAGGAATTAGGGTTCCTTACATGAGTCTTACTATTTTGGGGTCATAGGTGCAGGGTTTCTGAATCAGGTTCCTACATGACATCATGTAAATAGGGCTTAGGGGGGTATATGATGCCATTTCTCTTTTTTAAAGCCCTCGGGAATAATTCCGACAATTTCAGTCGCGATGCGCGAAGACCGCAGAAGGTCGCGCTCCCGAGGAAGGGGCGGCGGTGACAAGCTCGGTGTGGTGGTCCTTTTTAGGGTAGGGTTTAGGGTTTAGGGTTATACCAGGACCCTATGACATCTACCCGTTCTAGAGCTCCTTTTGGCGATGTCCTTAAACGAACACTCAAAAAAAGTTAAATTCTTTAGAGTCTAGGCGGGGTTTACAGACAGATGTTGCTGTAGTTGTCTTTCGTGGTTGAGCATCTTTCTTCGGGTTAGGGTGGTGTTAAGTTTTTGCTGTTTGAGCTGCGCCGTGCTGAAACGAGTTTCAGCTACGTAAGTATGCATGTGGTTACAAGGGGTATCATTTGCTAGGAAAATGCCCAGACCTCACTCAAATCTGTCCTCAAGCCCCAAAGCCCTAAACCTCAACCGCCTTTTTTTTCAGGTAAGCAGGTGATTACGAATTCTCCCCCTTGTTTACCTTCTTGAGAAGCCAAAAAGCTCCTAAACCCTAAAATATCAAAATCCTAAACTCTAAACACCCTAAGACGGTGAAACCCTAAACCCTAAACCCCAAAGAGCCAAAACCTGAAACCCTGAATCCCTTCACCCGGCGAAAAACACTTAAACATAGGCTCTACCCTAAACCCGTAAACCCTAACCCTAAGGGTCCATGTACCTAAATAGTATATACATTGGCCTTAAAGTACTCCCTATATGGGTACATTGGGCCCAAAGTATATGCTATTTGGATACATGGACCCTGAGGGTTATGCAAACCCTACACTCCTACACCGTTCTGCTCTGCGAGCACATTGAACTTGAAGGGCGGGCAGTAAAACCCGTAAACCCTAAGATGGCAGCCTGCGTAAGAAGGAGAAGGCGGCCAACGATATCAGTCGTGGAGATTCCCTCCTCGAGTGAGAAGCTTAGTAAACCCTTCACTTTAAACCCTAAACGCTGAACTCTAAACCCTAAACCCTGAACCCTAAACCCCTAAACTCTAAACCCTAAACCCTAAACCCCTAAACCCTATACCCTATTAGTGTTTGCTTGCGTTTCTTGTTGGGAGGGGGGGTGGTTTAGGGTTTAGGGTTTGGTAGAAGTTTAGTTTTCGGGTATAAGGTAGGGTGGAGGGTTCAGGTTTTTGTTTGCTTAGGCTTCGGGTATAGGGTTTAGGGCTTAGGATTTAGGGTTCTAGGGTCCAGTGTTTCGGGGCTTTCGGGTTTGAGATTTAGGACTACGGGTTTTAGGGCAGAAGGCGTTTAGGGTTCAAGGAGTGCGACGTTTAGGGCTTTAAGGTCGCCGGCTCTAGAGTTTTAGGTGAAGGAGGGCAAGGGTTTACGGGTCAAAGCATAAGGGCTGGCTCCCATAAGCATGTATAGCTAATATGTTGAAATTCAATACGGAAATTTCTTTTCCTCCCTATTAGGCATACCAGGAATTTAGTTTCGGGTTTAGGATGTCAGGCTTAGGGTGTTGCTTCCCAGCAGATGTTCTGAAGCAGGCGCATCTGCTAGCGACTCAGCAGAGCGACGAAGGGCTGAGCTAGTGTAGGGGCCTTCATAATTAGAAAACGTTTGGGGGTATAGTATACTGTATTTATAAAAAGGAAACCCCAAACCCCATTCTAATTCGTAAGGCCCCTACATTAGGAGGGACCAGGGTCTGGGGGCAAAGCCCTAAACCCTAGGGCCTAAACTCTGTAAGGTCAAGAGGACCCTGGACCATGGAAACATAAACGCTATGTAGACCCTGCAATGCAGCAACTACCTTCTATTGGTCACCTTTGGGCTTGTTATTGGACCCCAGGATACTCAACAAATCCATGACTCTATTCTAGGTTCTAGGCCTAGGTCTTGGCCTGTACCCTTGCAGTAGCACTTCCTAGCGCACCGGACTCCCTGTCGAAGCCCTCGTCGTAAACCCTTGAAGACCCGATGCTAATGGCGCGTGACGCCGCCATGAAGTATCTTGAAACAAAACGGGCATACCCTGCAACCTCAATGCTGTTCCAGCTCGTTTCAACTCCTTGAGTATATAATGGGTTTGTGTAGGTATGTAGGTATGAAGCAACCTCTCTAACCCTGTAGCCTGTAGCCCTGAACCTGAACCCTGAAAATCCATATCCAAAAACCTTGAACAGTAACTCCGACCCAATCCGTTGGCTGCCCGAGACTCTGTTCGGGGGATTGTGCAAAATCGGCCCGCTTTTCTGGCTGATTCGTACCTCACGGCTTTGGGTTCAGGTCTGGGCAGGGTGGAGTCGAGGGTTTAGTTTAGGGCCTAAGGGTTTAGGGTTCAGAGTGTGTGGGAGCTTGCGGGGGGGGGGGGGGGGGGGGGGGGGGCGGGGAGCTGTTCGTTCTCTTTGGTGGGCCTTCGCCTTCCGGGACACGGAATACTTCTGGTGGGGAAGTGTGGCAAGTCCCAAAATCCTACCCTAAACCCTCCAAACCCTCAATTGCCCTAACCCCCTATCCCTGAACCCTTAACCCTATATGGTGCTAAACCCGTAACCAGAACAGAGTTCTCGCGCATATCGTAATGCACCTAGGTCCGGGAACCTGAACCCTTCAGCATACCGCTAGAAAGTGTTCAAGAAATCACGGCATGTCAACTTCCAGATCCGACAGGTCGCAGTGGCCTGCTTATAGTTCATGTCCGTAAGCCCTCAAACCTAAGCTTGCCTGCTGGAGCGTCAATAAAAGCTTCAGACTCTTTGCCTGCAGAGGGATTACAAGTAAGAGTGTCATCAGCGTCACTAATGCCTTCGTCGTATAAGAAGAAGCACACAGGACTCCGGACGCATACGGACTAGACTTGAATTACATTGCTCAGATTGCGTGTAGCAAGCGCTGACCACACTACGCAATCTAGTTAACAGTTACGAGGCCCCCAGCCCTCAAAAGAAACCCAAACCCTGGACCCCATGTGGGTGGTTGTCCAAATTATGGTCCCGTTTTGGGAACCTTAAATCTTAGGTGCCGTATTATGATAAGGACCCCACAAGGGACCCTAATTTTGACAACCACCCATGTGGGTTCGTTCTGAGAAGCGGGCACATCCCTGCCATCCACAATGCAAGGGTCATCTCCGTGGACCTTCGAAGCAAAACCTAAGGCTCCATGTAGCCATATAGCGTATACTTAGGCCTTAAAGTACCTATATCGGGACCCCTTTAAGGCTTAAGAGCCTTTCGGAAAGATCGAAGTACTCCAGGGGCCCCAACAACATAAGGGGCACAAAGGAGCAGTTTTTGTAACGATCCAGGGATTTTTAAATTTAGGCTTGAGACCCTGAGGCTCACAATATTCAAGGCCCCTCTCAAACCCTACAGCCGAATGCCTTGCGATAACCCTATAACTATAATAATCACCTTGTCCGTACCCGCATCATAGCGCCTAAACCTACTCTTAACCCGAAACCCAATGCTGCGGAGTGGCGAAGTAGTCGATGCCTCGATTCTCAACGAGGTCCTGTATGTAGGCCTCAGTCCTGAGCGGGCTGTTGTGGGATCTGCACAGGAGGGGGGGGGGGGTGGTTCTACAAAACCCTAGACCCGAAACTCCTAAACCCTATATATATATATATATATATATATATATAACTATAACTATAACTTCTAGCCCTACACCCCTGAAACCTTCAACCCCCAAAGTGCGAAACCCTGCCGGATGTTTGGAGGCTTCCAGAGCCAACTTTGGGTTCCTGAAAGGTCCATGTGCCAAAAACAATTTTTTGGCCTTCTAAAGCAGTCCGTATTTCGGAGCTTTAGGGAAGTAGTCCCTATATAGGCACTGGCACTTTACGGCCAAAGTATCTACAATTTGGGTACATGGGCCCTCAGAGTTTGCCAAGATCTTTCGCAAAGGGCTGATATCACAACAAAAGCTTTCCCTATCCTTCCAGGGACCTCATAGTTAGGTCCCTGGACCCATTAAGGACCCAACAATAAGGTCCCTGGAGGCATAGGCTTTAAGAGGTTCGCATGCCTATGTCTGAGACACGTAGCTCTTAGGATTCGGGTCTTTACTCTTCCAGCTGGCCAAAAAATAGGACCCTACTTTTAGGGCTCAGAGGGTTTAGGGTTTAGGGTTTCCTCATCACCTACCGAACGATCCTTCGCAGATCTCACAAAGCCCCCTGCACGTGAAACATCAAAAGCATGACCTGAATTGACAAACACCATAGACCCCACACCTTGCTCCAGATTCCACAACTTGACCCAAACCTTCACACTCTCAGCATGAGAAATGTCTGACATCCAAGCTCAGCAAGCCCCCCAAGGTGACGTCAACATGCCGTAACATGGGGGCCTTAATACTTAGATGTTACAATTACTATAGTTGAGGCGAGTTGTCCACATCGAACTGTACGGGAAGTTTTCTAAATCCGGGTCCCTTTTTAGGCCCCAGAATAGTCGACACCCTTATATATATAAAAAAAAAGTACGAAAAGGCTTGATTTAGAGAACTCCGGCCCGAAAGAAGTAGCTGAGGTACAATAAGGAATCCCAACTACTTAAAGGGTCATGGGACTTAGTAACTGAGGTTATAGATGAGGTAACTATACTTATAACTTATAAATACTTATAACCCCAATTAAGGTACTTATAACCTTACTTAGTAAGTCCCATGATCCTCCAAGTAGTGTTCGTACTGATTCAGCCCCCTTTATTGACCCTGCGCTTTCCGAGATGCATGATGTAGGGAGACCTCATCGGCTGCGGATGTGGAGTAGATTCGTACAGGAAGTATCCATGTAGGAACCCCTTTAAGGCCTAAGTATATACTATGTAGGTACATGGAGCCGAATGGAGCCTTAGGGTCTGTAAAGGGCATCTTGGTAGGTCCCATTGAGGGCGCAGAGGTCTTTGCTTGTTGAGTTGAGGATACAGTTTCAAGTATCAAGCTGGGGCTCCAAGCTTGGAGTTTTTTGGGGTTTAGGGTTTAGGGTTTAGGGTTTATAGAGTTTGAAAGTTTCAGGGTTAATCTAGGCTTAAGGTAGCCGGCTTTTGGCTAGGGATGGGTTGAGGGTTGAGGGCTGGATTCGCGAGGTCAGGCTAGCAACAAGGGTGGAGTGCGGAATATCACGAGATGGCTGATGTGGGGATTTCGCTGCCAAGCTACCAATCGTCTGACACGGCGCTTTTCTGTAGATGAAATCTTGACGGTATCTTATCAAGACTTGCTGAAGATTGTGTTGTCGGGCCCATGCATCTTTACAATATATCGTATATGCTTAGGCCCCAAGAAACTCCTATTTATGCAATTCCGGCTAGAAGTACTTTGGGGTTGGACTTTGGGGTGCGGCAAATGGACTCTAACAGCCACCCTAAAACCCAGTAAACCAGAGTCCACACCATACGACACTCCAACTGTAACGGTCCGAGTACCACGAGGGCCTTGGGTGCAAAAAAAAACATTCTGACTAGAGTTTGGGGGGCTTGAAACCCTACTAGTTGGCTACCTGGCCTGGGATATAGGAGAATCCAAAAAATGAAGAACCTCACTGTAGAACCCGAAATAGTAGGATCCTGATCAAAAGGAGCCCCTCGAATCCCCAACGTTCAATTTCTTGGCAAGCCCGCTAACTCTGAACCCCTAACCTTAGCAAACCCTAAAGCCTAGACTACCTTTTAGGTTCCTTACTAAGTACTATGGAATCCTTTTATAAGTCCTTGAAGGTAGGTTATTCGGTGTTAAGGTACAGCCTATCCTCTGGGGGGTCATGTAGGGTAATCCCACAAAGGAACTACTAGGGAGCCTATTGGCAGACCCTGGACCGTAATGCATAGACAGGGCACGCCGGTACAATCCTCAGAGCGATGAGCAGTGGAGCAAGGAACCGGTGCAATGCAGGCTCCAGAACAGGGCTGTACTCTAGAGGCCTTAATGAATTTGGGGCCATTATACTATAGTCATAATAAGAAAACACCAAAAATGGTATTGGTAATTGTTTAGGCCCCAAGAGTAAAGGGCTTTTCTAAAGCGGTATAGAGTTGCTAGTAGAGGGCCTTTCAGCCTTTCATATTTGGGGGAAGAGCCAGAATTTCTTTGCGGTGCATTCTATTCTTCGTGAATCCGGCCTACAAGCTAGATAAGACAACCTTTCGAGGTTTATTACGTAAACTCATGTGCTTGATCTGGGTCGACGGGGGGGGACGGGCCTTCTTCAAATTGGTGTCCGATTTCTTGAGGTCCAGAGGATAACAGTGACGCCTTAGTGTGGTCCATGCCGATGGTTCGGTTTCTTCAGGGGTTCTGTAATTGTTCTTTTGCTCTATATTATATAGGGGTTCCTTGAGGGTGGCTTAAAAAGTTCAATAAGGTCTCGCTAGAAGCCAATATTTCTCTTGAAATGATATACGGCGGACTTCGCTATTAGGCTTCCGAGCATGGGTTAAGTCATGGCGATTGAATCGAAGGCGCTCGTCGACGAAACGGCAGGCGGCAACGGCTGCCTGGACAGAGGAGACTAGGATGCCCAGTAACCTAGGAAAATAAGGAACCTGGGACTACAACAAGTGAATAAGAGCACTACTGGGCATCCTGATTTATAAGGCCCCTATATTACTTTACCCCTATAGATCCCTTATAGAAGCCCATAAAGTACCCTTTAAAGGAACCCGAGTCTAATTATTTAAGGGACCTGGGACTACAAAAAGGAATAAGACGGCTCACTGGGAGGCCTAAGAGAAGGCAACAGCGACTGTCTCTTAGTTGGCAACTTCCGGGGCGAACTAACCCTAAACCTACACCCCTACAGCCTGACCCTAAACCCTAAAACCCTGAACCCTAAAACCCTAAACCCTAAACCTTAAAACCCTTAAATCCCTAGACCCGGAGCCCTAAGCCGAGTCGACTGTATCCGTATCAGCATTGACCCTCAATCCTAAACCGGTTCGACCGTATCTGTATCAGCTAACCCCTATAGGGTTTAAGGGTTTAGGGTATACCCCAAACCACTGTAGAGTTCGACTGTATGAAGCCCGACCTTCCAATATCCCGTGATCAAGGAATATACCTTACATCATATTAGGGATCCTACTTCAATCTAGGGCATATACATTAACCAAAGGTTATTGGAGGGTCTGGGAAGCCTAAAGCTCGCAGAAAGGCCTGGCGCTCATCGTCCGTCAGCACAGGTCGAAATCCCTTGGCCTGAACGAGGACCGGAGCTGGATTAGGGTTTACCCAGGGGCCCTAAAGTAGTTCCTTTTTAGGTAGTATATTAAAGTCCCCAACCAAAAAAGAGGACACAAGCCCCTGGGTGAAGATTGAGGAACATGGGAATAGGGTTCAAGGATTGGGGCATGGAGAAAAAGGTGATCTGATTTGGACAGTTTGAAGAGGCTTTCTGAAGATTCAATGCGAGCCTACTGTCTGACCTCAGAGACACGCCTGGCAGAATCGCTGCGCCTAGACACATGGGCAAACAGACGTTGTCGTCTTGCCATATGAGAACCGATCTACGGGCATAAGAACCCACAAGTTGACAAGTCGGCACCCTTGTAACATGCGGGCCGGTAAAACCTTAGGTCCAATCTCCTGAGGGCCACGTCCCGATGTTTCGAACATCCATTCCCCGAAAAGCTGAAAGTGGCCTTCAAAACCATGCCAATCGCTGGACAAAGCGGCATCGAACGCTGCAGCGGCTGATACCAACTTCCCTAAGTCCTTCACCCTGCAACCATGAACCTACTGAAACCTATACGCGACTTATGCCCAGCCCAAAACCCGGCTCCACTCTAACTCAGAGCCTCTGAACTCACAAAGGGCCTTAATCACTCGAGTGAAGCTTACATAGGGCATGCTATGGACTGTACCTATAGTCGGTTTAGGGTTTAGGATTTAGGGTTTAGGGTTTAACCAAATATACAGTTAGGATCCTATAATACTACAATGGAGACTATCGGTAGTATGGAATATGTTCTGGAACATAGTGTACTGTCGACAGATACGAGCTGTCACGAGACATTCTTGCAGAAGTTCAGACCTCTGTATTGACCCTAAGGCTCCATGTACCTTTATAGCATATACTTAGGCCTTAAAGTACCTACATGGGGACCCCTTTAAGGCTTAAGTCGACTATAAAGGTACATGGAGCCTTTGGGTGAGCTGCCGCTTATGCTACCCGGCCTTCTGCACAGACTCATCGCTGTTTACACCGACAACCAAGTACCTGACAAGGTGTAGCCCAAAGGCTCCATGAACCTTAATAGTAGATACTTGAGCCTTAAAGGGGTCCCCATATAGGTACTTTAAGGCCTAAGTATATACTATATGAGTACATGGAGCCTTAGGGCCTGACAAGGTGTAGGGCAAACGACGCCAGATTCGAGCTATAATACCAAATCCTCTACGACGACAGTCTCGGAACCAGCTCAGAAATAGGCACCGTTTAGCTGTTGGTGTTCCTATTGCGGTTGTCGTCCTGACGAGATTTATAGACTCATTCAACTGGCATACGGCATACGGCATACGAAGCGGTTGTTGTCGCTCGTCTAGATGTTGTCATTGCCTTTTCTTGACACCAGGCATACCAGGTTCGTTCAGTTCTGCTGGAACGCGCTATTGATGTGCAAGCTGCAGCACACCAGAATTCCGCAGCTCAAACCCTAACCCCATCACCGGAGGACCTTTAAGCCCATACCCTCAGAACCCTCAACCCTTTCCCTAAGGCTCTGAGGACTCAGATTTTAAGGCTTTTGGGCCTGAAAACCATATTATACAAGGCTTTTGGGCCATCTTGGGCCTTAGGGTTTTCGTGTACTTCAACCTGGATCGAGGAAGACTGCGGCCAAGATGCTCACCAAGCGCTCTGGCTTGGCGGAATGCGTTCCTGAAGCAGCCGCAAGGTCTGCAAATACTGAGAGCTGAAAGCTGAGGGTCAAAAATCTCTGACAAAACCTTGAATGCCTGAACTTCAACCAGAACCCCATTCAAACAAACACCCGAAGCCAACAACAACCCAAAACCAAGTCGAAACGAAACAAAGTCGTATCGATCGTGAACGTCGACCACAAAGGCAAAGGGTTCTGGGGTGCAGGACAAGAAATGGCGAAGGCGCAGTGTTCAGGGCGCCTGGAACGTACGCGGGGGCGTGGCGCTGCATGTCAGGGCCTTTGAGATGTGCGTGAAGCTAAACCCTAACGCTCCATGTACCCATATAGTATATATTTAGGCCTTAAAGTACCTATATAGGGACCCCTTTAAGGCTCAAGTATCTACCTTACCAAAGAGGTACATGGAGCCTCAAACCCTAAACCCTTGAACCCTTATGATACCCCTTATAGAACCCTTAAAGGAACCCTTAAAGGAACCCTATTTAGGGTACATGGAGCCTTTGGGGTCGGGCTCGGGGTTCGTAAAGAATGGGGTTCAGGGTCTCGGGTTCAATCGCCAGGTTTCATGTGACCGTAGTGGGTGAGGTCGAAGACACCATCGATAAAAATTCCTCGGTATGGACGGGGCCATTGAAAGGCTCGGATGCTCGATATCTATATATACATATATGTGTATGTATGTATGTATGTATGTATGTATATATACATACATACACACATATATATATATCTATATATATATATACATATGTATATATTATAGATATCCAGACTGCGAGCCGCTGCATGCACTGAAGACACTTCACCCTCCACCTATAACTTGTAACCCAAATGCAACACATCAAGCCAGATGCTTGATGTTGCAACAGAAAACCCCCGCGCAGCTCCGTACTAGATGGCCTGAGCAGACAACTCTGAATAACAACGACATGAACAAGCAAGCACCGAACACCAACTCCCTCTACAATACTACACCCTAAACCTTCCAATTCGAGAAGAAGACAGCATTAATCAATCAATCGCGGAAAGCTCCATGGCTCCGTGGCCCTCTATCTTCAAAACACAAAATACGAGATTTATAAATATCCACTGTATCATCCCAAAAACATAACCACTTCACCCTATGCACAATGCTAGAAACCTATCGCAACATAAATTCGATGGAGACGTCGCGGCTCAAGGGATCAAGGACTCAAGGTGTGCTTCAACAAATAATTTCCGATAGCTTGTATTGGGTTTTGGGGTTTGGCTGCTAGGGAACTCACTCCAGCAAAGATCCTGTTGTTAAGAGTGCTACTAGTCTTGCCAGGGCCCCCTATTCTCGGAAACTCACCCAAATCAAAACCCCTGAACCACTAAAACCCTGCCTCAACACCTGTAGACCCCTCGATGCCCTTACTTACAGCTACCCCTACTTAAAGGCTCATGGGACTTAGTAAGTAAGGGTATAAGTAGGTTATAATTAGGATATCCCCACTTAGGGGACTTATAGCCCCAGTTATAACCTACTTTTTAAGTCCCATGATCCTTTAAGTACCCCTACACTTCGGCCATAGACCCAAACCCAGGATCCACGTCTGCTTCTTGATGGGAGCCAAAAGGGGGGTTTAAGATTCTTGGGGTAGGGAACCCTCATCCCTACTAAACCCCCATAGGCTAAAACCCCCTTTTGGCCTCCTGTGAATGTCTGCTTCTGTGCGTCGGATGGGTCGTGGACTGCCCTGCGGCGCGCACTGCGCCAGAATGCACTGAGACTCGGCTCCTGCAGACAAGGGTAGGTCCTTTGGGTGCCGTAATATTTTGGGACGTAACAAGGGACCTAGATTACAGAACTACCCATATAGTCGAGGGCAAATAGGCTGTTTATGAGATACTCTTGTGGGTATCTCAGAATAGTTCAGTTGGGCTGTAGCATCTGCTCCTCAATAAAGTCAATGATGCTGCAGGTCTGCAATGGTGCAGCTTGTCTGAGTGGTTTGGAATCTCGCCAGCGGGCGTTTGAAAGATTGCCCCTCATAACTACTGTCGAGGTTGCGTTGAAAACGACTTTCTCTGTGATACTGTCCGACATAATTTCGGACATGCTGAGACCGTTTGCTGTCAATTCGTATCATTGTTTAGACTGTGTTTATGATCATCTTAATAACCAGAGGTTCCATGTATATTACCATTATGGAGTTAGATCCCAAAAGACCATCCCCATTATGGTCTTTGGGACCTGATTCCATAACAGTAAATAGTAGTGTATATGGACCCTCTTGGGCAGTTTCGGCCACATGTCTCAAACCCATACTGGGCCAGTAAAGCCCTCTGAAAAAATATCCGCCCAAAAAAAACTACCTGGACCCCAAAAGTGTAGACTGGTAAAAATAATCAGACAAAAATACGCTTTTATAGGTGTTGGGGCATCATTTAGTCTGGGTGGCTTAGGTACACCCTAACCACAAACCCTACCTAATCCTTCTGAGAAGATGTCCTGCCAGCTGCTCTTTGGCTTCTGCCAGCTCCCGCCTCTGCGGTTGGCGTTTTTAGCAGCTGGGGATTTTGCAGGGTGTAATGTTAACCCTAAGGCTCCACGTACCCATATAGTATAGACTTTGACCTTAAAGTACCTATATGGGGACCCCTTTAAGGCTTAAGTATCTACTATAAAGGTTCATGGAGCCTTAAACCCTAAACCCTAAACCCTTATGATACCCTTTATAGAACCCTTAGATCTAGGCGGCCCAAAGCCATTCCCCGAAATGAGGGTGCTGATTCATCTTTGGGTGCCGCCTGAAGGTCTTGGTGTTGGCCACCTTCCACTTCGTAGTTGCTTTAACTTAGGCTTGAGATTTGACGTTGAGGCGAGTTTTACCCTGCTGATGAACTAGATGCTGCGACAGTAATCGAAGTCGCTTGAAAGGAACATTTCGCTCGGATACTCAATGGTCAGTTTCACTCACTGATCAACTAGATGTTGCGACAGACTCAAAGTCGGTACGAGAGGAACACTTCGTTCAGATACTCCGCGATGGTGTCCTTAGAGGGCTTGCCGCGATGGTTCCGAAGGATGATCCGCGACAATGAAATTGCCCCTGGACGATGCAAGCTGACTACATGTCAGCACGGTGCCTGAACCGCCCTTTCGACGTGCTTCAGATGCATAGTTAGAGGGGCCATGTGGGCCTGGCCTCCCATGACGGCCTTGGTCGCGGTTTCAGCGCTAGGCTACCCAGGCAGCACGCTGGCGTGTGTGAGGTAGCACGCTGGGCTGTGAGGTAGCACGCTGGCTGGTGAGGTGGCACGCTGGCTGGTGAGAACGCAGGTCGGGTAATGGTTTGGGCACCACTGCGGGCTAGGCTCGGACCTGTGAGCTCTCGGATGCTCTGCGATCCACGTCTCCTCCGCCATTGCCTTTCGGGGCGACAGTCCTTCCACCTCGTCGTTGCGTTGCGGACTCAAGCCGCCACCTCCGCGCCGAGTCGGCACGTAAAAGTGAAGCAGCACGTTCCATTCCGGGAATGCAGTAACGTCAGGGCGGAAGATTAGTGTAAGAGTAAAAGTCCGTTTAGGGGTTTAATGTGCAGCCGTCACAGTGCCACCTCGATTTTGGGTTCCGCCTCGAGGTTACAGCGTCCGTCACCAACTTACCCTGAGCTTTGAGGCTGCACGCAGCGACTGTCGAATGGTTGAGGCAGCACGCTCTTGCTCCCCGAATGCTCGAGGCAGCACGCTCCTGCTCCCCGAGTGGTTCAGGCAGCACGCAGTCGTCCGCAAAACTGCCCGGAACCCCGCTCCCCTTTCTATTTTCTCTTTACGAGCACCTCCCCAAAAACAGGCCCACCAAATCCCAACCCCGACCCCAGAGCCCATGCAGGGCCCTTGTTCGTGCTTCTGAGGGATCAGAACGCCCAAGGCGTCACGGCAGCCAAATGCCCACTGCCACTACATCTCAAGCACGTCGAAAGGGCGGTTCAGGCACCGTGCTGACATGTGGTCAGCTTGCATCGTCCAGGGGCAATGTCATTGTCGCGGATCATCCTTCGGAACCATCGCGGCAACCCCTCTAAGGACACCATCGCGGAGTATCTGAACGAAGTGTTCCTCTCGTACCGACTTTGAGTCTGTCGCAACATCTAGTTGATCAGTAGGGTGAAACTGACCATTGAGTATCCGAGCGAAATGTTCCTTTCAAGCGACTTCGATTGCTGTCGCAGCATCTAGTTCATCAGCAGGGTAAAACTCGCCTCAACGTCAAATCTCAAGCCTAAGTTAAAGCAACTACGAAGTGGAAGGTGGCCAACACCAAGACCTTCAGGCGGCACCCAAAGATGAATCAGCACCCTCATTTGGGGGAATGGCTTTGGGCCGCCTAGATTAGAGGAACCCTAAACCCTAAACCCTTAAAGTACATGGAGCCTTTGGGGTTAGAAGGGCTCCTATGATTTCAGGGGGTGGGGTTCAGTTCAGGCCTCGAACAGTTCAGGATGCATAGGGGTATGGGTTTGGGAAAGTTCGCAACCCTAAACCTCCAAACCCTAAAGGCCCCAAAACCCTAAAACCCTTAATCCTTTCACAAAGAAACGGATTGGCCTTTAAACACCCTGAATAATATTTATATATAGGGTTCCTTATAAACACAAATAAGGAAAATAAAAAACAATACCAAGATCCAACCTAGAGAAAAAAAAGCAACTCCGAAGTTCGCCTCGCCGTCGCCGCCTCCTCCGGCGAAGCCGCCGGGAGCGACGAGGCGACCAAGGCGAGGCGCGCCTCGGAGACGGCGGGACAGTCAATTATTCCAGGGGTTAGGGGTTCATAGTAGAAGCCAGAAAGTTGGAACATAATCATCCTCGTGCTCCTAAGGTAAAGTAGAAGCGATCCTAGCACTAATCCTCCTAAAGCCATGTTCCAACTTTCTGGCTTCTACTGTAGGAGTTTAGGTTTAGAGTTTGGGGCTTTAGGGTAGGGTATAGGATAGGGTTTAGGGTAGGGTTTAGGGTTTAGGGGTTAGGGTTCATACGGGTTTAAGCAGGGTTTAGGGTTTGCAGGGTTTTAACCTATCAGACTAATTACTATTAGATTGTTGTTGATACGGCTGTTCGTCTTAATATTGCAGACCCTTAAACTCTGAACCCCCCCCCCCCGTCGTAACAAACACTCTCTAAGGGGGTTCCCTGCCCTCCGTACATGCCAGGCCCAGGCCGCAAGGCACCGAACCCTCCAACCAAATGCTAACATTTAGGTTCCTAAGTAGCCCCTTTAAAATGAGGGGTACCCTTTTCGTACTATTCATTTTTAATAAGGAGACCCAAAAGCAAACAGGGTCAAAAGGGTGCTACTCACGAACCTAGTAGGGCCCTCACCCCCCGCGACTCTAAACCATTCCCCACCCCTGCACTGCTTCAAACCCTGTACACCTAGGCGAGCTGCGCTGAGTTTCAGAAGACAGCGTCGTAGCCAAGATCGGATGAGAACCAGCCATTGGCCCAAAACCATGGCAGGCGCACAGGGTTTGGGGAATGTCCTAAACCCTAGAAAGCTACTGTACCAGGCTTAGGCTATGTGGTTTCTTATTCCGTAAGTTCTGGGTTCAGGAGTCAGGAGTGCGTGGGCAGTTGTGGTTTGGGGTTTTAGGGTTTAGGATTTAGGGTTGATGCTCCGGTTTTGCACATGTGGGCGCAGGGTGCTTGTTGAGTCCTGGTGTCGTGTCATGGCCCGGCACTGTAAGCTCTTCGAGATGGCTGTCATGTTAAGGGGCTAAGGGCTCAAGGAGTTGAGAATTTGGGGTTAAGGCTTTGGGAAGTTAGGCTCCCACGAAACTCTGTTAAGGATGCCTGCGGTGCTTCTGACCGAACATACAGCTTGAGCCAAGTTTGGAGCAAACCGTAAGCGATTTTGAAAACGTAGAGACGCTCCACGACATCTTTGGGAGCTTCCCAGGACAAGAGCCCTTGAACACTATTGGGGGGGGGCCATAGCAACCACAATAACAAAATCAGAAGACTGCTAACAATCATAACAGTAGTAGTGACTCAGTAGTGATAACAACAACAAGAAAGAGGAACCACCTACAACAAACGATGTCGTGTTATTCATACTGATAATCGAGATAGAGACACCAAGACTACCAACAATAACTATAATGATGGTGATAACAACCACAACAACAAATAATAAGGCTCCGGGGTATACGGAATACTATAATGTAGGGGCCTGAAAAATTAGAATAGGTTTTGGGGCCCCTTATACTATAGGTATTAATGAGGAACCGTATTGATAATTATTTAGGCCCCAGTAGTAGAACTCTTGTACTGAGAAACCTTTACGTCCAAACCGGGTGAACATGCATGCCTGTGTATTTAGCGCTGGGCGCCTCACAAAAAAGAACCCTCGGGCAGAGGACCCGGCGATTCCAGGGACTGCTCTAGAGACCGGAGTTGGGGAGTCTAGGGTTAAGGGTTTATAGGATTTAGGGTTTAGGGTTTAGGGTTGATAGGATTTAGGGTTTAGGGTTTAGGGTTTATAGGGTTTAGGCTTATAACACAACTTACAAGAGACAATCCTTGAACCAAAGCTATTCTGCCATTGTAATTACACTGCCTGCAGGAGATTCAGAACATGAGGGAAGTCACCAGGACCTAAAACCAGATCCTGGTGTGAAGAACACCTTAAGGGATGCCCAGCAGGTTCGGGTTTCGGGTTTACGGCATAGAGTTTAAAAAACCAGCCAAAACTCCCACCCAGACCCTACAATGCAGTACCTGGTTTTGGTTAGCTTATTTTTGAGGATTGGGTTCTGACTAAGAAGTAAGTTCATCCCCAAAGGGATACACTTCGACTCCCAAACTCACTGCGCCTCGAAGTGAGGAAGCTGAAATCCTCCTGCATTCTCGGCATGCCGCCGGAATGCTACAGAGGCGACCTCACAGCTTTATCCATAATGCAGGGGCTTCGTGTGGTCATCCAAACTTCTACAATGTGTCATGTAGCTCTATGGGCGTGGAGATGTAGAGTCAATGTGCGCGTATAAGCAAGAACATATAAACAGACAAAGAAGTACATATGCACAGATACTGTTTTTGTATGCAATATGTATGTGCATGTGTGTGTACACCTACAGCTGCACAGACACATTAATGTGTGTGTGTGTGTATATATATATATATATATATATATATATATACGCATATATGAGTGCATGCATGCATACATACTTACATAATTACATACAATATGTATAAACACAGAACACATGCATTCACACACATGCACGCATCCATCCACACACAGTATTGCCCACCGATGTCAGTAACTAACTAAGCCCATGTATGGGTTACCGATGCAAGCGTCTGTTCTTGACGTGCTGGCCCCCATACCCAAAACCTCAATCAAAGGGGAAAAGGAGGGACCCTTAATGGGGACCCCTGCCCTATAATGGGCTATATAATGGGTATACAATGGCTATATTATGGGTATATACCTAGGTGTCCTTATTAGGGGTCCCTCCTTTTACCCAAAACCTCAAACATCAAAGCTGGAAGAGAGACCCAGAAGCCGATCCTCACCGATCCTGCACAGAAGGCCCGAGCATACCAACCGGAGCCATCAAGGAAGGACCAAAGGCCTGCCAGTCCCAGTCTTTACGGTTTCTTTACTCAAAGGGTTCCTTTAAGGAACGTATGAGGGATCTATAAGGGGTGCCAGTGCCAGTCTTTGCGGTTGACTTAGGGGGTTCCTTTAAGGAACCTATAAGGGATCTATAGGGGGTGCCAGTCTCAGTTTTGGAGGTGTAGAGTCTAGGGTTTGGGGGTTTGGCCTACTTCCAGATCATGAAGGTTAGTAACTGCTATAAGGCTGGTATTCGGTCGCTACCAGACTCTGGTTGACTTTAAAGATCATGGGGCTTAGCAATAACTTACGTAAAGTAGGGCTCCTTGAAGGGTCCCTTACAAGGGGTTTACAAGGGGGGTAGGGTCCGCTTACTGGATCATGGGACTTGGTAGCTAGGGTCATTGTCAGGCAACGATACTGGTAACTTCGTTTATCACACCAATACAATCACTTATAACCTGACTTACTACATCCCATGTTCCTCGAAGCGGGGTTTACGTTTTGAGCTTTTGGGCAGTTCATGGTCTCAGGCTCAGTGTTTAGGGATTAAGATCTACAGCGACCTGTTTGTCAAGATGCGGACAGGTCGATTGATTGCTGCCTCAACTTGACTCGGAGTTTTCACAGATTGCAGATCTCGGGTTCCTGGTTTTCAAAGTTCCGGGATAAGGGCTCAAGGTGTGGAGTTTAAGACGAACCTGTCGCGACCAACCCTACAACATGGTAGGTCATGATCCCTCCTCAATAAAGAGGTAAACAACTGGACCCTGTGCCAACCCTGGAACTTGAGCTCGAAGTTTCAGCCGAGAGAGAACCTCAATGTTGCACAAACGCTCTAGGATGCTGCTCCTAAAGACCTCCAAAACGGGGTCCGGGTTAAGAGTTGCCAAACCCTAGGGATCAAAATAGCCCAAAAGCCTTAAATAGTATGGTCTTTGGGCCCAAAAGCCTTAATATGTGAGTCCTTAGATCTACCCAGTTGAACGGTCTGCGCCTACGATGCGTCTTCGGCGGAACTCTTCCGGATGTTCCGGCTCATATCTGCTGAGCAGGGTCGCCACCTCAGGCCCAAAGGCTCCATGTACCCCTATAGTAGATACGTAAGCCTTAAAGGGGTCCCCATATAGGTACTTTAAGGCCTAAGTCTATACTATATGGGTACATGGAGCCTTAAACCCTAAACCCTAAACCCTTATGATACCCCTTATAGAACCCTTAAAGGAAACCTTAAAGGAACCCTATTATGGGTACACAGAGCCTTAGGGAGGCAGCAGAAGGGCACCGGCCGAAAGGCAGTGCGGCCTTCCTACTACGCGCAGGGATTTAGGTTGAGAAGCAGGTATTTTTGGGGGCCATGTGAAGGATTCCTGAGGAATAATACGGTTGATGATACAAAGCCTGCATTACCAATAAGAAGGAATATACC